TAACCATGGGCTTAATAACCGGCGACTACTGTACCACCCCTGAGACATATGTTCCTGGTGTAGCCAAGTGAGCATATCCATTTAGTCAACATTTAGCAGTCCCTCCCTTCGCCCCCTTCGGCGGTGCTTCCATTTTCGCTCCCTGTTGACATTCCCCTTTCCGTACTTGTTTGTCCCCCACTTCAGGTATGAACTGTATACTTTTGATTACATTATTTATATTTGGACCTGGAGCTTAAAATGCTGTTTGTTGGACGGTAACAAAGGAATTATTTGGCTAAGATACGCATTGTTAAAGTTTGTTTGTTTATCTGCTTACATATAGTCTATCAGTACTACCGTATATACAACATAATCTGCTTTTTGACTTATAAACATCGCTCAGAATAGCGAAAAAGTCAGCACAAGCATTAATTTTAACTTTATCTCGGCTCTACTATACTTCAGTACAGATGGCTGTTGTCGTTAACCCAAAGTCATAGCTGATAAACAAGAAGTCAGTAACGTCGAAATTTCCCGTATCATTTTTTAAGAAGAAATCCGTAGCATTTTCCATCGTGGCGACCACACAAAATAACATCTGAAGTAGCCCACACATACTCGCAGTGGGTCGTGATGAACACCAGAGTCTCCAACTAAGGCAGTACACGGAGTATCAAGTACTTTCCGTCTCCGAACGACTTCATAAGTATACAAGAATATGACAAATATGCAAAGTCTATGTTATACGATATAGCAGCAGAGCAGAAAGGGATTGCGTGAAAAGATTGCACAACAGGCTATTACTTGTCATCTGATTGAAATGGTGAGCTCCGGACAGTGTTAAGGTAGGCAAATGTCTGATTGTCCCGGTTGATTCCACAGTCCTGGGACTTGGTTGCCTGCTGTAAGAGTATTTCCTTGGCCTCTGTCAGAAGACGATCTAATCCTCTAAGGGTCTCCCGCAGACCATTGTTGACAGTATCCAGCTCTTTGACTCGCATTTGCATGAGCTGGAAACGCTGCTTGCGACAGGCACGTGACCTTCGCGAAGCAGCATTATTCTTCACTCGTCTGCTGGCTTCGGCGGAGGGCTCGCGGTCGAAAAGGGAGGAATCAGAGTATGTGGAAAGAGTAGACTGTGGCGATGCATTTGCTCTGACGTCTTCGCATCTCTGGGGGGCTGATTGCTGGGCGTCACTGTTGATCCATTCCTCAATCTGTGATGTAGAAAGGCATTTAAATCTAGATAGGCGAAATATTAAGCTTGGCAGCGGGACAGAAAACGCTCTCGAGCAAATGTACGATGAGATTAAGATTATGTATGGAGTAGGAGCAGCATCCGCCCCCTCGCTACCCTGCACGACGTCATGGTTGGTTCAACGGCTAAGAACGCCCTTGGAGGACGAATCGAGGTTTCTTTCTGGTTGGGTCACTTTTATCGCGTGGTAAATGATGAACTTTCTTTTCGGCTGCTGAACGAGTGGGGACCAATTTTGGTGACTACAGCGTATTCAACCCCCCTGGTCACTGTTGCGAAACGTATCTCATTATTTATTTTGGTGGATAAGTTTTTTTAAGACTAGCACAATTTTAACGGTGATAGTAGACGCTAAGGTTAAAATTAGGATTAGCTAATTTTGGATACAGGGTTTTGGAGTTATTTTTAGATTAAGGGTTTGTATTAGGGTTCCTAGATTATTCTTAAAAACAACACTTTGCTGTAAACACAGGGTCAGAGCTTCAACGTTGGGGTTAGGATTTTAAGATAGGGATTTTCAAGATGGCGTTAGGATTTAAGCTAAGATTTTAAGGTTAGGCTAAATGTGTTAATGCTATGGTTAAAAACGTCCTTGCTCCTCGTTCTTCAAAAGAACATTCCTTTGAGGTGAGAATGTCACTTGATGTAACAGCAGCCAGACTATGTTTTCCTTCTAGGCCAAGACGTTTGAGGACGTTTTCTTGTTACCAGAGACACTATTTTCACACCGTTTTTAAAAGGTAGGTATCTACTGGTTAAAGAATCGACCAGAAATATTATTTTTCGTTTTTCTCTTCTTGTCGATTCCTAACCACATTTAGTAAATGTACTATCCTTACAGTAGCAACACTTTTTATACGGAATCTGGGAACTTAAAGCTCATATTTGAGAGGTAGTATGTTCGTGCGCATATGGAACTCAAAAGCCACGCGGAGGCATGCTCACTGCTAAAAATATGTATTCAGTCTTTTTACATAAGCTATAGTCCTTCCCTTATCAACTTTGAATTCACTAACGCCTATCGTATTGTTTAATTGTTGATCTGCCTTCAGTCTTCTTCATGAAGCACTGAGTGTTTTTGTGAAACCTGTTTTCAATAAAGTATCTTCTGGCCCGAAAGGTCACTCGGAAAATTAGAAAATCTTACTTATGTGTAAATTAGCAGAAGGTTTGCCTGCAGAAGATGAAAGAGGGTGGCAGATTAGCATAATCGTTTGACGGTGTAACGGACAATCCCAAAGACTTGGAATGTAAATGCTTTGCAAACCTGGGGTTGACTATGACTAGCTGATGATGGCCGACGAGACAGAAGTGGCCATTTAAGTCTCTTTTGTCGTTTCAGGCACCGTTAATCTACCGCTTTCTTAGTTTTAAAAGTTGGCTCGAGATAAAATAAGTAGTCTACGGAACTGTTGGCCATTTTTCACTTTCGTATTTTGTTCACTTGGCATATAACTAGAAAGGATAAGATGTCAGTAATCTTTGTGGGGAATGGCGGATGCGGCAGTAATAGTGACCATGTATATCGCGAAGACAAAACTCACGTTCGAATACTTGCTTTTATTTTCAGAAGCTGCAAAGGGTCCGATTTTATTATGACATCCGCCATCCTGCAAATGAGTGTGTTGGTCCAAATCCGGGGTGCATGCATTAAGGAGGACGGACTCTGTGGTTGGCCATTCAGATATGTCTCCATCCTGGTCCTCAATGTTGGGCTGCTCGTTGGAAACGTTCCTACATTCTAGAAGCATATTGAGGCACCCGCTCACTGGACTTGCCTCCTCTCTGTAATCGAATGGTTTAAATTCGTTGCAAATAGATTCAAATGCAGAATCGAGGCTGTAATCTGAACAGCTGTAGGAAACGGTCGGTGGAGATTCATCACTTGGAGTCGAGTCAGCGGCATCTGCCTCAGAGTAAGAGAGCCAG